ACCCCAGGTCCTCTGGTAGAGCAGGAATAGCTCTTAACCTCTGAGCATCTCTCCAGTGCCTCAGTTACCTTTGTTACACATTACAGGCCTGTTTGCCTAGAAATCACATCACCAACAATGTGCTGGGACCGCCTACATCATTAGACAATCAAGAAAATGTCCCACAGACATGCTCACAGGCCAATATGATGGAAACAATTTCTGAGTTGAGATTCTCTCCTCCCAGGTATCTCTAGTTTGTGTCAAGTTGACAAAAGAAAAAACAAACAAACAAAAAAAAAAAAACAAAGAAACAAAAACTCAAACTAACCAACACACCACCACTTAGTGAAATCAGGACAAAAAACTCAAGCAGAAACTTGGAAGACAGGCCTCCTTCCTGATCTACACAGATCTAACCAGGGAACTCATTCACAACCATGGAATTACAATACAAACCATGGTGGATGCTTCCTGCTAGCTGGTTCATTCACAGGCTCATGCTTAACTAGATTTTTATTCAGCCATAACCACTTGCCCAGGGAATAGTACTGCCCACAGTGGGCTAAGACTTCCTACTTGAATTAACAATCAAGAAAATCCCCTAGACAGGCCAATCTGATCCAGACAATTCTTCAGTTGAGACTCCCTTATCAGGTGACTCTAGACTGTGTCAAATTGATAAAAATAATTAAGGTGACAACCATCCCTACTGCAGATCTAAGAATAGCTTTCTCAAATCCCTCCTCTAGTCTGCCCTCTACCCATACCTGTGCTGTGAGAGTTTGACATCAAGAAACTGCATTATGACCCTGCTTCCAGTTGGAGTCCACCAATGAGAGGCATCAGCATATCGAGTGCAGGATGAAGAAACTGGAGTGTTTGCTTCCTCTCTGCAAAGTCAGTTTGTTAATGATTGCACTATTTCAAAGAAGGCAGCCCTTGTGATAACAATACTCTTGCTCAGATCTGATGCTGCTTCTCCCTGTGCCCCTTCAGGCCTGTGGATATATTCTTTTTCCACACATTCTCAAGTGTCATTTGATGTCCTGTCATCCCTTCCCTATCTAGATACATCTGTTCTATCCATACTGTGGTACCATGTTCTACATTATTTTTTCACTACTTTTGACTGTCCTATATATTTCATGCCAAGATATTGGTTGGTGCAATATAGTTATCTAGCTGGTACTTGATTTTGTGTAAAGAAATCTACTTCTCCTACAGTCATCTCAACTAAAAACATTTTCCCCAAAATGCTAAGTACCAAGGAACCTCACAGTCTCTAAGATTCATCCTGTGTCATGTGAGGAAGTAAAACCCCCCAACCCTGCCTGAGGGACTACTGCAAACCAGTGGCTGCAGAGAAGGTGAGAGTCCATCTCTTTTAAGGATATGGCTCTTGGTAGGTTAACCAGGCTCCCCTGAATGGATCCACACTAAAGGACGTTTGGAGACACAATAGGCCTTAATGTATATAATAAACTACATGAAATTTGGCAGAGGGTGGTAAGGGGAGCACAGTTAGGGGAAGGGTATAAGTACGATCAAAATAAATCATGTAAAATTCACAAAAAATCAATTTAAAGGGGAAAAAATTCATCCTATATCAGAAAATTCAAAATTCAACTACAGTTTTCTCTGAAATATTTCATTCCATTACTCTAGCCTGCAATCTTATAAGATTTCTAGAATCATGATCCTGCACTATGACTCAGCTATGCCCTATCTCATTCTCCCTTCCTGATCTGTCATACACCATTCTTGGTTTTCTCTTGTTTTATTTTTCCTTTGGAGACAAGATTTCACTATGCTGAGTAGGCTTAAATTCATGGGCTTGGGAGATCTAGCCTCTGGCTCCTGAGTAGCTGGGACTGCAGATGTGAGCTACCATGCCTGACTGTATTCTAACCACTACTAACCAGCATTATGTTTTTGTATCCTCACTTATCAATATTATCCCCTTTTATAACTGCCTAATATGGTTCAGTTGTCATCTGCTTCCCTCTCCTTAAAGTCGGGCTATGCTGTGCTACTCAAAACAGCCACAAACCAAGATGGACAAGTGTCATTGCACTTTTTCTTAGGAGTAACTGAACCTTCAGAAACCCTCAGTTGTGCTTCTTTCCTGTGCATCACTTTTTATTTGTGCTTTTTATGAATTCTTAAACAGTTTTATACAATGCATTTTGATCATTTCCCCCCTCCCCTGACTCCACCCAGATGTGCTCCCTTCCCACCCACCTTCATGTTCTTCTTACTGTACTTTTGTATGACGGTTCAGCTACTTCCTTCCATCTTCTCAGAAGCTACCTCTGACCTCTGGCATACCTTTTCTTCAGTGTTACAGAAAAACCAGAGCCATTGGATATGAAAACACTCACTCTGTCCTCCTCCTAATCTTTGAAGTTACAGATCTCTGAGACCATCCTGACCACATTCTCCTTCTCACTGACAGAGTACTGATCCTACTCATGTTGAGCCTATGCTGCTCCACCAGCAGCATAGACACTAGCAGCTCTAGGATGCCCAGCTGTGAGTTCTGCTCCTCTCCTTTCTGCCAGCTCTTCCCTCAGTTCCTGCCTCACCCGAGACTCTTGGTCCTGGGCTTCCTCTAGCTAGCATGCTTCAGAATTGAACTATTTGAAAGAATTTCCTATTCATTCATGTTCTCACGCCTGATTCACCCTGAAGTCCAGGTGTTCATCATTGTCACCCCAATTCACACACTTCACAATAGTCACTGCTAACCTGAATGTCAACTTCAGTCATCCTTCTCTGTCCCCAGGTCACTTCTCCCAACAGCTGTAGTGACTAGGCTTCCTTTCTGAAATTCTTCTCTCTTAATATCTACAAATCTTACTTCTTCTCACTAAATCTAAATCTCCCTCTTCCTCTTGGGTCCATTTTGTTCTTTCTTTCTCATCTGCCTATTTTTAAATGGTTCTGCTTCCTGGCTTTCAATTATTTAACTTCTCCTCACTATTACAATATACCATGGCAATCTCAGCCACAGCCATGATGATTCCCAGATCTTCATTCCAATGCCTGCATTATTCCAAGCTCCAGAGCCAGATTTCTAATTTCCCACAGAACATGTGCGCTTGACTAGATAACAAGGTTAATGTTACAGACCCTAATTAATTCCTTATTTCTTGCCTTGGGAATCAAGAACTCCATTTACATAGGTCATTAACTGAATGTTATCCTACCAACTATACCTAATCAGTAGCTAGGTCACACAGAGTTTCATTATATTGTATGTGTGTGTGTACATATTTGTGTGTGTGTACATTATGTGGAGGCCAAAGATTGACATCAAATGCCTTCTTCAATTAATCTCCATCTTATTTTGGGAAGGTAGGGTCTCTCCCTGAATCCAGAATCCCTGATTCAGCCATACTAAGTTGCCAGCAAGACCCTGGAATGTTCCTTTCTCTACTTTCCCAGCACCAGGATTACAGGCACATGCCACGCCTGGCTCTGTTACATAGGCACTGGGAGCCAAACTCGGGCTCTCATGCTTGCACAGAGCATAGCAAACACTTGATGGCTGAGCTACTCTCCTACCCACTATCTTGACTCTTTATGCATCTGCTCCCTCACTTTCATTGCCATAGGGTTGTCTCCATCTTGGACCTACTCACCTCTCAGTTTCATGTCATAACTCCCTCCCATTTGGTTCCCTGTCTCTAGCCTTGTTCTGTTCAGCTCACTCTTCAGAGAGCATCAGAGCAATCTTTGGGAAAGCTAGACTTCACATTCTAATTTAAAACCCTTTGATGGTTCCACATCAAGTGAAAACTCTTGAATTGGATCCATGCATCATTAGTCCATCCTACATCTCCAGCCTCTGTTTAGAAAATGCAAAGGACATTCAAAATCTGTTCTGCATTCTGTATCTGCATTGCAAATTCCCCATGAACATTATGGCATTCTGAACCCATGTGTCTTTGTGGATTCAGGCATGCTTTCAGGAACACTCTCCCTCATTGTCCTAAAGAAAGGCTACCAGTCTTTGGATAATCACTACGGTGAAGCCTCACACAAGCACTTCCACCAAAGTAAAACAATTTGTGATGTCTTTTGAATATCCCTGTGCAAAACTTAAATAGCATCCACACTATGGAAGGATGTAATTCTTTGTTTCCAAAACTGGCAGCCCACTTAGTTTATACAGTCCTTAGAGCAAGGGCTATGTTCTGTGCTTTTTTTAATATATCATCAGCACTTAATATTAAATTGCTATAATATTAAATTGCTATTGGACTTGATCATCACTTTCAATTGTTAACACAAGGTAAATACAAATGAATGGAATCTAATTCTTAATATTTGAAGCTCATAACAAAATAAGCAGCGTTTCATGATTGAAAGATTCTTGAGAAAACATATGGTTTTTAAAAGAAGAAAGAATTTCACATAGTATGGTCTAATGACATTTCACATTGAAGCCAGGGGACTTGTATTCATTAAGGTCCTACTCAAGTCTCCTTATTAATAAAATCAACTGACATAATTTTGAATAGGCCAAGTCAGCATTGTTTAGTAAAAATTCTAACTTTTATTCTGATTGTGTCCACAGTTTAGCAGAGTATGGCATGAAAAACGCAAACATCTCACAATTGTGAATGAAAACACAATCTTTTCACTGCTTTGTGATTTTGAGACAGAATTCTCTTAAGCTCAGTTTCATCAGTGGCCATTAGGATAGCTATAGCAAATCACCAAAATATCTCTCACTCAAGTACCCAGTACAAAAAGAGTCCTCAATAATAATTATATCTCCTTCCCCTTTACAAAATGAAAGTTGATTTTTGTCTAAGCAGCTCTTCATAGGAACTGCGAAAGTCCTACCTGATGCCAAGTAATTTCCTCTATTTGCTAACAGCCAAGTGAAGACTTTTCCAAGACAAGAATTCTCATCAACTTTTAACTTTTCTTTTTCAGATAGTAGATCCTTTCAGTTAAAATGAAATGTTGTGATCGAGTTAATGCAGTAAATAAAAACTTTGAATTACCTGAAATGTTAACCTGTTGCCACCAGCTGCTTCAAACTGAAACTATGGACACCAGCCCTCTGGGGACTCCGGTCTCCTCCCATGGCCCTGTGTCTGTGCCTTACCTGTCTCCATTAGATATGCAGATCCACAGAAACTTTTGTGCTAATTGGATGGCCTCCGAATGCTGCAGCAAACTCATGTCCTGATTGCTTCAACTCATTGTCAATCCCTATGCTAGTCCTGCCTTTTCTCAAGTTTACATTCCTGTTGCCTAGGAAATCCCAGGGGTTGTAAAAACCCAAGCTATTTAAAATGCTCTGGGAGAAATGACAGACAAGGGGAAGTTTTGCTAGTAATTATTTGGTTTCTAAAACACCGTGGAAACCCTGGCTTCCCACGTTTTATTAGGAAATGTTCCGTAAACTTACTTGCTTTACGGAGCCCCTTGCTGACCTTCTGTTGTCTCTTAAAGGCTTATTACTAGAGTGGCTTATTGCCAGGGTGAGACAAGAAACCACACCTCTTAGGGGCAAGCAGGGGCAATGACAGGCAAGGCGCTCTTATTTTTTTCTACATTCACACAGTGATAAGACACCTTCTCCACTGCTTCTCAGCTTCTGATTTGATTTTTTTCTCTCTCCCTCCTTCTCCCTCCCCCTTTGTCTCCCCTCCCTTCCCCCCTACTTCTCCCTTTCCCTCTCTCTGTTCTTCATTCTCCTTTCATTTCACACTGGTTCTTAGCAATACAGTTGCCAGAGCTAGAGCAGTTTAGTTGTTTGCTGCAATAGAAAATATATAAATCGCATTTCTTGCATTATCTGTGACATCCACCCTCCCCTCCACATCTCCATCCCCATGCTCCCTTCATACTAGAACAATCCAGAGATCTAGGACCAGAATTAGAAGAGGTCAGTTACACTTTCTGTTCTGCATCTTACCTGGTGTGTATTCTCCATCATTTGAAGGTAGGTGGATATTAAGGTTTTTAAAGTCAACAATACATTTTCTTATCAACTTCTTAGAGTTTATCTGGAGGTCAAAGGAACAGATTTATAAAAGCATAAACTCTAGTGATTTCTGAGATGGCGATATGAGGGACAAGAAGAGACCACTTGTTCAAAAACTATTTCGTTTCTTTCTGGATTACAGACCAACTCAGAGGAATATTGTCAATGGAATGTGACACTTAACCGAGCTCTGAGAAAGTGCAGACACAAGAAAGGATTCCGTGTGCAGCCCACTTCCATCCCAGGGGAGTGCTGAGTATCTTCTCCACACCACACAAGCCAATTTTACTTAAAATAGTCCTTCCTTGCTACAGCTTGACCCGGTAATGCTGAGCTGTGTCAATTCACTTTCACGAGATGAAATTGTGAGGCTAGAAAAATTAATTGGTAAGGAACAATCACTTAAACACGAAGCACCACCAAGGACAGACTAAACCTGCCTTTTCACTGATCAGTAAGACAAGTGAAAGATAACCAAAAGCTCTTAGAGGACTAGGAGGGAGATTTGCTCATCTTTGCATCTCCCAAAATTCCCATCACAGAACCTTGTACAATTGTAAAGTTAATCAAGTTTCATTAATCAACTTGAACTGAATAGAATGCATTTGATATTAAAAATGTTTTAAATAGAAATCTGTTTCAGAAATAACTATTTCTTTACACTTAAGCAGTTCATGCATTGATTACACTCTCCCTCATCTCATCTTATCTCCCTCCTTCCACATCTCTTCTCCATACCAATCGCTTTCCCAGATTCTTGACTTTGGGTTTTGTTTTATAACCCTTGGAGTTTAACCAGGACAACCTATGTGACCATTGGATTGGGATTGTCTATTGAAGTCAGGGGTGGGAAGGTCACCAGTCAGTATACAACTGAAGGCATTGACTTCCCATCTCCCTGACTCTATCAGTAACAAATAGTTCTGTGGTGAGGGGTAAGTCTCCTTAATCCCTCCACCATTTATGGCTACTGATGGGCATGTTCTTGTGCAGATCCAATGCAAGCAATCTTCACTGAGTTCATAATTGCAGCAACTATGTCTTGCCCAGAAGATGGCATTTTGAAGCCCTTTTCTCAACTTCTGACTCTTATATATTCTTTCTGTCCCCTGTTCTTCAATATTCTGAGCCTTAGAAGATATGGTATAAATGTCTTGTTTATGACTGACCATTCAGTCATCACTTACTCTCAGCAACTTGTACAGCCATGAGCCTCTGCATTCATCCTGTTCACTGGAAATAGAGGCTTCCCTGATTAAGGCTAAAAGTAGCATTTTTGATGGAATAAATAAATATTTAGAAGGAAGTTTGACACTATATAAATTTAGAGAAACAACAGTATTAAGCCCCCCCCCCAACATGAGCTTTTGACCAGGTTTACAATATCATACATGGGTTCCTTCCTGTGGAGCAGGCCTCACGTCTAATCAGTGCAGTTGGTTACCCCATACCTGTTGTGGGCACATCTTACCTGACAGGTTGGTTTTGAAACTCAGTGTGTTTATAGCTGGATGAGACCATTGATGTCTTTTCTCCCTCAGCAATTTGCATGTCACCTTCTGAAACAAGGAAATCTAGCTAGCAGGGAGGACATTTCCATCTCAATTACAGTCTGATTTCTCTATGTCACACAGGCAATGTGTGTGTTATCTTCAACAATAGGGTCTTATTTTGTTCTAGTGGGTGACCAAGAATGGCAAGAGCCTATATTGTTTTCAGGGCTTCTCTGACCAACAGCTCATAAGGAAATATCCCACACCTAGAGCTGGGGAAGGTATTTCTTCATCTTATAGAAGACAGGGAGTAGGGGGGAGGTTGTCATATATACCCCAAAATGTATAGTATTAACCATTCTCTATTCTTTTCCAAAGAAACACATATCCTTTTACTGATGTGGCTGTGCATTATGGTAATTAAAATAATGTTTCTCAGACTGTATTGTACATTATATCTGAACAGACACTAATTCTAAAAATTTTAATGTAATTGTATTCTACTGTGTTCAGCCTGTACTGACCACCACATCAACAAAAACCAGGAATTGAATCTTTGAACTGTGTTTATTTATTTATATTAATTATTTCTTATTGAATTTAAAAATTCATTTATTTTATGTAATCTTTATTTTTGAAAATTTTAGACATGAGTACTCTACAGCATTTCCACCACTTCCTCTCTTGGCTTCAACTCATCCATATCCCCCACATCCCACTCCCTCTTAATTTCATGATCTCTTCTTTAATTGTTAAATACACAGACATAAACACCTGTGTGTGTGCATATATATCTATGCCTGTAGTTCTTCATCTGGTGGTATTACCTTGTCAATTCTCCCATTCACATTGGCATATCAGTGGTATTGTCATTGTGTAAATCCAGTTTAGGCACAATACTTTTGTAATTTCACGGACGAAGCTTCCATATCATGTCTAGAAGACATTATCTAGCAGCAGGCATGTTGATCTTCTGGTACTTACAATCTCTCCATCCCCAATACCTTGATATCCTGTGAGACTTAGGTGTAGGGGTTGCATCATAGATGTATCAACTGGGGCTGGGTATACCATGGTCACTTATCCCTACATCTTTTCCAGTTGTGGATATTTGTTATGTTCTCAATCTGTGGTGAGAAGATGCTTCTTTGATGGTGACCAAGTGTGCAAACACATGTACATAATGTGTTTGTGTTTGTGTGTGTGTGTGTGTGTGTGTGTGTGTGTGTGTGTAGGCATGCACATGCCACAGCTCACATGTGGAGGTCATAAGACTATTTTCTTCTCCCTTTTTTGTGTATTCCAGGGATCTAACTCAGGTTATCAGACTTGTTGCTGAGCAACTGCCTTTACCCACTGAGCAATCTCGGTAGCCAGAATTGTTTTTTACTTAGAGAGCTGGCAATGGGCTGTCAGAGCAAAATCTGCCTTCTCAGATCAGTTTTTTTGTTAGTATATTTATAGAAAACCAGAACTAAGCCAATAAATCTATCCAAAGTTTAATCTTGTCTCTCTGATTAGGTGGGTCTTGTGTCTAAGATTCTTTCATTATCACCCCCTCCATCTCCTTCTGTCTCTTAGGAAGGTAGACGTTGGACTATTATGTTGAATGCTATGAATTTTTCTTATTAAAATTCACTTTTGAGGCTTGGTCCATGATGCAAATGTTTGAAATTTTGAGATGCATTTAAGAAGTTAAAGATATGATATGGTTTAAGTGTAAATTTTCCTCCACAGGCTTATGTATTTGAACACTTGGTACCAAGTTGATGGCACTTAATTGGGAGATTGTAAAACCATTAGAAAGTGGAGCCTAGCTAGAGGAAATAGCTCACGAAGTTCTTGACCACAGGGTTTTATACTGTTCATGATTCTTGTCTTCTTTGCTCCAACATCTGAGATTTGAACAGGGAGCTACTGCATCTTCCACCCAACACCTGCTGCTCTGCCTTCTACACCACGATGAGCCAAACCATAAGCCAAAATCAGTACTTCTTCCCTTAAGTTGCTTGTCAGATATTTAGTCACAGGTTTGGAGAATGTAATAGACACACAAAATGTGTACCTCAGAGTGGATTCCTTACTGTGAGATACCTGAAACCTGATCATGTTAGGCTTTTGGAACAAGTTTGTAGGAGGAATAGTGGTTGGTACTGTGGGCTAAAGAAGCCCTAGAAGGCAGTAGGCAGAACAGAATGTGCAATTCTGGTGGGTTTGGAAAATCAGAACGCTGATAGAAATGGAGATACTGAAGGTCGGACTCAGAAGGTTTCAGAGGGAACAAAGACTCTATGATTGGGCTAGAAGCCATTAGTTTTATGTTCTGGAAAAGAATCTGGCTACATTCTGCCTGTTTGTATAAATTTGTACACAGTGTGTACATATTTCTGTTCATGTCTGATTTTTCTGGCTTCACCATTTTTGTCTATTTCAACACATTTTGCTTAAAAATACTAACATATATCCAAAACTTAAAGCTTTATGTAAACTCTGATGTGTGACCCCTTTCCTTACTATTTCATCCACATACTGCAAACGAACTGTCACCTGATTTTCTTGTTTATATTTGTTTTCAAGTATGAACTTATATGATGAACAAATACACCTCAACTT